CCTTTATGACATGTGTTCCTTTAACTTTAAACTGCACCTCTCATACATGGTGAAGCCAACCATTTTTTAAGACAATATCCTTAATAATGCAGAAAGCCATTGTGTCAGAGACTAATACCTTCACTGGATCAACCTACTGAAGAAGGTTAACTGTAAAAAAAATAGCTGATCCCTTTTAAGAAAAGACATAATTCAAATTTAGTTTTGTTTTTATTTCTAAAATAACAAACATATCTATATTAACTGCTCTGTGCAGTGATTTTGCACATAGCAGCCCTGATCCTCTTCTTTTCGGGTCCCCTCCAGCTCTCCTGACTTTTCTTACTCAAGCAGTGCCCTCAGGGAAAGTCTCTGGCCCTGAGGGCACCTCTGCATGCTCATCCCCAAGCTGCTGCTCTATGCATCCATAAGGCACATAGAGCTGCATCTCAGCCCCACCCCCTCTCTCTCCTCATTGGCTCAGCGACTGTGATTGACAGCAGCAGGAGCCAATGGGTCTCAGGTCTCGGCCAATGAGGAGGAAGAGTCCTCAGATAGCAGAGGTTGTTGAGAACATCACTGGATTGGAGGGGCTCGGGTAAGGATTGGAGGGGGGGGGGGGGGGGGGGGCGCTGCACACAGAAGGTTTTTTACCTTCATGCATTGTATTTATGAAAGTAAAAACCTTGGGCCCATGGAACCACTTTAAAGTTACTTACCTGCCTGTCCACCCCTGTACAGTGAGCCACGCATGCGCAGCTTACTGTACAGATTTGTCAATGCCAAATGCGAATCAGTTCCCATACATGTGTGGGAGTGATGTCATCCCCACGCAGCCAATGACAGTGGTCAGCGATCGAGAGCCGGAAGCCGACTGCCCGAGGATGTCAGCGGCTGAGCGGAGAGCAACGGGACACCACATTGCTGGTGCAGAGGTGAGTATAATTCTGCTTTAAAGCAAGGGTGCTCAGCCTTTTGAAAAGCGTGGTCCACTTAAGTAATTTGGTAACCGGTCACAGGCCACAATGAAACTAAATAGTTCAGAATTTTTATTTTTATTTATTTATTTTATTTTGAATAGCATAATGAAGATTTTCCTGCTGCTGTCGCTGAATGCCAGCGGGAGGGTGAGGAGGAGAAAGCTGGACTTCAGCAGTTGCAGGAGGAAAATGGAGAGGACTGGTTCCTGTATGTGCCGCCCTGCCACTTCTCCTGTCCAAGTGTAATCAGAATGTAATGCTACACCAGTGGTGGTGGTGGTGGTGGTGGTGGGGGGTAAAAACATGTCTCAACTATGGTGTTTTACTATCCCACAAACCACAAATGTAAACCAGCCCTTATTGTTCTGAGGCTGCTTTCACACTGATCCGCAGATGCAGCGCAGTGCACCTGTGGGTTTCCTGCGGGTTAGCTGCGCTGTGCCATAGACTTCTATTATATCTTGCAGGTGTGGTGCACTTTATAAAAGCGCACAAAATTCGCAGGATATAATAGAAGTCTATGATTCAGTGCAGCTAACCCGCAGGAAACCCACAGGTGCACTGCGCTGCATCCGCGGATCAATGTGGAAGCAGCCTAATAGGTAAACCCTTTTGTAGGTGCCCATTGCAAAAGCACAGTGTATGTGTTGTTTAATACACTGATCTTCTTTTCCTCTTGGGACAGGAGCCAGCACTAAAGTGGAAGCATTCGCATATGCAATGTCTGCTTTTTCTGCAGCCGCTTGTTTCCTCCACTGCCAGCTCGTTGCACTCTGATGCTCCGGGATGGCGGGTTGGCAAGCTCAGATCACGATCAATGGGTTGTTAACCCTGGGCATGTGCTTCCTTGATTTGATGTCAAGGGCCACATCAGAGGGCTCCAAGGGCCACAGGTCGAGCACCCCTGCCTTAAAGAAATGTAATAACCATTACACCGTAATAGTTCAGAAATGTTTAAATGTTGTTTTAAATGTGCAGTTTTCTTAGTCAGACAATGTTGTATAAACATGAATTTTGTGTTTCATTGTTGTGCATTTGATGCTGTACTACCGCTATTCCAAACACATTTCGGACTTAACACACTAGGTTAGGTTAGAACATTTTCCTAAAAAAATCAGTTGAAGTTGCACAAATAGATATGCAGGTAGACAGACATTGTAATAACCTTCATTTACTTCTACTTTCCTGTTGCAGCAGTTATGCCGGATAAACATGACCATGCAGTTCAATTGGCACCATAGTGTAATCAGCTCTGGAGCTGGTCTGATAAACACCACCCCCTTCTCTAAAATACAAGGCTTTGCTAGAAAGCTTGTGCTGATGGGGGTGGCTTATACTCCAATATGCCAGCATAGAATCCTGGGGTGAAAGTCATGAAGCAGTATTATCACTGAATGATATTTTAAAGCCTCTTAAAGTTAAAACCAGCCACAAATTATAATGTGTGCAGGAGTATGAAGACATAAAAATGTGTGATACTCCAACTGGACTTTATATATGATCATTCAACTTTCAATTTTATTTCTATCCAATCAGGTAAACCCCCACATTACATAGTTTGATGGTAAATTGTAAAGTGATCCATTGCTTTGCCAATGTAGAACAAAGCAACAGGTTAACTGTATTGCCACTCTCTATCTTCTTTCCACAGATACTTATGCTACCTACCCCCCCCCCCCCCCCCCCCAATAATTTTTTTTCAGTAATACACTTGCACAGGGAAGCAACATGGCATACCTGATATCTCTAAAAATGGGGGCAATGTGACTCTCCTTTCCCTACCGCATGACATTGCTGTTGTTTGATGACTGGCCACTCAAGCACCCAACCCTAACAAATGTGGGTGTGGAGTCCTCAACCCTTTGTAAACTCCAAGTCACAAGATTATTTTCTTTGCTTTTGTGAACAAATGGATTAGCAAGGGATTGAAGAGAAGATAAATATCAGCAACTGTGGGGGAAGGGTGGTATTAAATTGAGCCTGTTGCTGTGCCCTGCAAGGGCAAAGCATCGGTCCACTTTAAAGTAGGTCTCATATATTAAATTAGACATTGCAAAGGAAAGTGTATAGTCAGAAGTTGTAGCCAGAATAGTTATGTTTTACTAATGTAGTATGGACCAATATTATTTGAAACTGTTTATAGAGCATTGTTGGCCTCTTTTTTTCTAATTTAAAGCTAATATTATTTTTCATTACTTTATAGGGAGCCCAAGTGCTTAGTACCTTTTTTATTCTCTGCTGACTGCAGGTTTTCTGTATTGTTTTATATCTGTGCTGTAAAGATCCTAATTAACTTGGTATAATTTGACTTCCAGCTATTTGGCTCTATTCAGAACACCCAGACGGCTGAATCAGAAAAGAGATAAATCCACTTTAGCCTATTTCCTTATAGCAATACGGTTTTTTCAATAGAAAGCAGCAACCAACAAGTACAGTGATCATTCTTGGCTTTCTAATAAGAATGTTCTAAAAAAAAAAAAAAAACTATTACAAAGTTAGGCAGTTTTAAATGTTTGTTTGTAAAATAAAGATTTATATTTACAAGGAATGGAAAACATGATATTAAAAACCTGTTTATAAATTTGTAAATGTGTAAAGTAATAACATTGACAAAAAAGTATGTATTACCAATCATAAGTTGACTACAGACAGTGGACTAATGCCTCAATATGTGTATGGTTAAATTGGGGCATGATTAGTGGCCCTACCATACCATGGTAGACACATTTTGCTTGGGCTTCCGCTTGGCAGAGTTGTACAACCAGATTAAGGTGTCCTTTTATCATGCAGTGGTAAATAACCGCTGCTCAGTTTCTCTGGCATTCTCAGAGGAGACAGTTCTCCTCTAAATGCCTGTTTATGAAGCGGTGTAAATAGCTTCTCCTAATGAGGAAAGAAGCAATCTACAAATGCTTTTCACTTTAGAAAACGGCTGCTGTTACTGTAATCTCGTGAGATTACAGTAAGAGATCAGTCAAACACACAGTTTACACATTTGCAGCTCCCCCAATTCTTCACCTCTAGGCTGGAGAATCTGGAGGGAGAATTTTCACACAGATCGTTAGTGAAGGGCTTACATCGCTCCTTCATACACTGACCGTTTCTGACAGATTCTCTGTGTGTTGAGATGATCATCTCTGTTTCCTAAACCACTAATTTTCTGAGATCAGCAACGATTCTTAGGATCGCCACTGATCTCAGTTTCACAAAAGGGCACCTAAATGCTTTCTAGCCAATAACTATTGTTTTCTCCCAAGAAAGACTGGCTCCAGTGATGACTGCTAATCGTGCTCTCCTTTCCTTCTGCATAGGCACAACCATACACACTCTCCTTCAGCAAAATTACATGCTTATACCAAGAGGACCCTTTTTAGCTTTATTTACCAAATCCACCTCTTGATGATCTTTCTATATCAAGATTAGGTGTGTTATTCTCATCTTTAGGGGGTTTACAGTTTACCTGTGTGCAGCTTTTGGACATTCAAGTATTTTCATATTGTTTACAAGCAGTAAGTGAGCTTTTAAAGACAAACCCTTACTGACCTTTGTAGCTGCAGGAACTGTGGCACAATTCCCAAACTTCACAACAAAAGCACTCAAGTTCCTCTTTCAGCACTTTGATATTACCTGCTCCCCTCTCACAGCAGGGACTCAGCAACCTTTTAGCCTTCTACTTGCTAATGTAAACGTAGAACAGGAGCTCTTTGAGGGGCAAAAGTGGGAGCTCAGCTTCTGAGATAAGAACTTGAATACTTCCCATGCTTCTGCTTAAAGGATAAATTGCTGTAAAATACCTAAAGATACACAGGCCAGTGATGGCTTGTTTTAAATCTCATTTACAGCTTGTTAAGAATGTTTAATTTCTCAAATGTCTATACACACAGGTGCGTTTAAAGCATGACATTGTTAATTCACTTTAGGTCAGGTCAAAATGATGTGCTTGCACTGTAGCAACATGATCCACACTTGCGGAATATGGTCTTTAAATGTACTTAACCTGCATGTCGATGGTCTGCGTGTAATATATTTGTCTTACTACAGGTACTCTCATTACCACACCGAAGGTTGGTCTGCTACTGTCGTCTCTTTGAAGTCCCTGATCCAAACAAGCCACAGAAACTTGGCTTGCATCAGAGAGAAATCTTCCTATTTAATGACCTGCTAGTGGTATGTATTGAATTAAAAGGAGTTTATCAGAGGAAATGTCCGTTGCAGGCATACTTTAGATAAAGATATTTGATTATGAATACAGTTTGCCAGTGGGACTTAGGCAGAGAAGTATGTGCTCTATTTATAAGTAAAAAGGCAGACAACGAATCTTGTGACATTAATTTTGTAACTCAAGGCATTCGCAACTGTTAAAAGTTTTATCACCATAAATTTGGTGCTTTCATCCCTTTCCCCAAAATAGATTTACAGATCAAGGAGATGCCTTTTTTTGTCTTAATCTGTATGCGTATGAAAACCTCCCACTAATGGCATTGTACATGGTGTTTTCTATAGCAGTATAAATGGTGTTTGGATTCTTTATGACTGCAGACTGCATTCATTTATTTGTGATAGACCTGACATAGCATTCTGCATTTACCATTTATATAGATAGCTGATAACATTTGGAGATTGCAATTGCAAGTATCTGAAGAAAGCATTACTGTCTCTGAGTTATCTGATAAATATATTATTTTAGTCCAGGCAGAAAGGCAGGACTGTATGTAGACATCATGCTGCTTAGCATATCTGAATGATGTTTTTCTTGTGTACACATTGCTCCCCCTGTTTTATTAAAATTTTTAAACAAATGTTACAAAGCACTAGTGGAAGCAGTGTACAGTTTGCTTTACATGCTGGATTTTCAACTGTAAGTACTATCAGACCAGAGAAGGCAGACGAAGTGTCAAAATCTCTTTAACTCTTACTAACCAACTAATTCTCATATTCCCTGCACTCTAATGGTGTAAGAGCTCACACAGGCAAGGGCGTATATACCACTAGGCAAACAAGGCGTTTGCCTTGGGTGGCATGTTTCAGGGGGACGGCGTTGCCCCCAGGCCAGTGACGTATCATCCATGGGTGCAGGGTGTTCACCGAACACAGGCCTCCGATATACACTGCACCGGTGGATGATACTGTCAGGCGCTCTAACTGTGGCAGGAGTTAAGTGTCCCTACATACAGTGTCCCCTCTGCTGGCCCCAGCCCTTTCCGGGCCGCCCATCCCCCTCCCACTCCGCCCCTTGGCTCAGTCAGAGCCTCGTCCCGGCAACCTGCTGTTCCCCTCCCAGGGGAGGCTACGTGGTGATTCTACTCTGTCCAGTGAGTAGTGTGTTCTGTTGCCAAGGTGTCCTGCCCTGAGCCAGGCTCCCCCTCTCCCCCCCACCTCTGACAACTTTCCTTTGGTGTCTCAGCTACTGCAGAACTTCTTGAAGAGGGGAGGGTCTGCTGGGTGTTGTAGTGCAGGGCAAGGATTGGCAGCTGTGGGATTCCCAAACCCCAAAGACCCTCACCCATTTCCTGCCTCTCCACCTTAAACAATAACTCCCTCCCCACCCTAAACAATAACCCCCCTTCCCCACTTCCCCACCCTAAACAATAACTTCCCTACCTAATTATCCACCCTAAACAATAACCCCCCTTCCCCACCTCCCCACCATAAACAAAAACTCCCCTACTTACCTCTCCACCCTTAACAATAACCCCCCTACCCACCTCTCCACCCTAAAAAATAACACCCTCCATACCTCTCCACTCTAAATAATAATCCCCTCCCCACCTCTCCATCCTAAACAATAACTCCCCTCCCTGCCTCTCCACCCTGAACAATAACCCCCCTTCCTGCCTCTCCATCCTAAACAATAACCCACCTCTCCATCCTAAAAAATATCCCCCTCCCCGCCCTGAACAATAACCCCCCTCCTCTAAAGAGGTGGAGCTCTAATAGAAAGAGGTGGAGCCTAAAGAGGAAGAGTGGAGTTTACATATGAAGGGGTGGATCTTAAACAGAAAGGGGTGGGACAAATTCAGCTGGGGGGCACCCGATTTTAGTCTTGCTTAGGGCAGCACAAAACCAAAATACACCACTGCACACACACACACACACACACACACACAGGTTTGATAATATTACCTCGTCTGTTACATTACAGTGTATGTGCCTGGCAATTGGCTTTTCAGGCCCAAGCACTACATCATAGAAGAAAGTCATATGCTCTCTGATATCTGAAGCCACCAAGTATTTTATTGCAGTTGCCAGGGCACAACCAAATTGGTGTGAGAGAGTTTCTATAAGCAAAAGCTGACTATATATGGCCAACTTCAGAGTATTGTTTGCTCTGTAGTTATTTTACCCACTGGGAAAGAAGACAATAGTAAAAGCATACCTCCTGAATTTCTGAGATGGGAAAGATGGATGGCTTTTAGAACAGTCAGCAAATCAAATGTTCTAATTTAGATGCTGGAAAAAATGTACAATAATTATTTCAATATTACACTTTTGATAATATATTTATAGTACATAAACAGTACATGGTAGAGGTCCTATACATGCAAATAAATAAGAGAGCAGAGATAGTTGGTTCTAATGAGAAACTGTTGGAAGATATGGTTAGCGGAATGGCCTCCAATATAAAGTGTGTTTTCAAAATGGCCCATACAGTAGAAGATTCTTACATTTAAAAAAAAGTATCATTCTTTCTATATTTAACATATTTTATTTATTTTTTTTTTTATTCTAGGTAACAAAAATCTTCCAAAAAAAGAAAAATTCTGTAACCTACAGCTTCAGACAGTCATTTTCCCTGTATGGAATGCAAGTGATCCTGTTTGAAAATCAATGTAAGTGTATTGGTCAATTTTGTAGTTTGAAGTAGATGGAACTAAATTATTAAATATATGCTACAGCGAAAATGAGGAATCAAGACTTGAGTATAGGATTAAGGTGACTGAATTAATTGTGCAGCTGTCAATGTTGGGATATGTTCATCACATTCATTAGAACTGAAGAGGCTACTTGAGTGAGTGGCAAAATGTCTTCAACATTACAGAACCAGTTGAACCTGACCTTGTTGTGAGACATTGCTGTAGTGTACCAGGACAGCCTACTGCTCTTCTATGGTAATCAGGTGATCAGGAAAACACCTTCACTAAGTTGTGTGTAATTCAGGAGATGCATCCTAAATCATACTAACTTCAGACTGCATTTCAGTTTAGAGTGTTAAAATAAAAGAACCAGCAAGTTGCGCACAACTGCCAGTCAGAATCTGGTACTAAAACTGGTATTGAATCCAGTGCACATCACAGTCTTTTCAGTAGTTAGCGGTCTTTATGCCTCTGTTCACGATTCACAGATTTTTGTAGGTTGTATTGTAGGACCAATCATCAATGTTACAGCTACCAGCTGCATCGCTGCCCACCTCCCCACCTCTAAATTCTCCTCCAATTATCCTTCTTTGCTATGCATTTTTGCTGACAGCCAGCATTTAACCTTCCTAAAGAGCACACCTTCCCCAAATATGCTATCAGATCACGTGATGAAAAAAGGACTTTTTGAACTGCAGTTTCTCATGATTATTCCTTCCATACCTGGCTGCTTTCATTAGGGCCTGTGTCAAAGGGAATTTCTTGAGCTGCTTTACCTCCTGTACAAGTCAATGAAAATGCATAAGAAACTTGAAGCAGGTTGATGCAACTTAAAAAGGATGTCTCCTGCTGGTTAAATAGCATGTAAAATTGCTACACAAGTCATATTGTAATTGGATGTTATTAAAAATTACCTTTCCTTTTCAATCAGCAGCACTATAATTTTCTGTAAAATACAATGCAATATGGAAACCTGGAGGCATTCTGTACACTGATGCCTATCAGAAATGTACTTTCCTGCTTGTGTTATTGGTGTACTGTTTTCCCCAGTAGTCTGCATTGAGATACAAGTCAAATTTTGGGTATCCCCTGCAGCAAAAATATCACCCCAAAGGGAAATCACATCTAAAGGGATGCAGACCCTGCAATTCTTCTCATTCGAGCCCTGCAGGTACAGTAGCTGATTGATTGCTATAAAATCACTCCCATTCTCCTTCACTTTGCACATGGACACAAACAAATAACTATTTCTTCAGATTAACAAATGGTAGGAATCTGCAACAGAGCTTGTTAAAATCCCTGCAATGTGCATAGATCACCCAGAGGGGAATGCTTTTTCTCAGCTAAAGTGAAGTTATTGTTTAATTATAAAATAAAGATTTTAAATATATGAAACATCAGTTTAAAATGCATAAATGAACATAAAAAATTTAATTTGTCAAAAACCATTATAGTTTGGTGTGGACCAAATGCTAGCTTAGAATTACTGCAGATTTAAAACAATAAGCTTTCCTTTGCTGCTTTTCTTCTGTGTATATCAAATGTTTACTATGACCTTGATTTATCATCCTGTTAGAGAGTGCAGGTATGTATATAATATTTCTTTTCAGCATCTGGCTTGGCCATGTGTTAATATACATACAGTATATGCTTAAAGGATAAGTTCACCTTTAGTAACATGTTACACCCATATTAAGGGTGTAAACCAGCTACCCGACCCCATCGTGACAGCAAGCTGGGGATCCTTTTCCACAATTCAAAGGCAGTGTAACTGTTCAGATCTCCACCTACACAGCTGTGGTATTCATTAACATAGTTCTGTGAATGAATGAACTACAAGTACTGTCTGCCACTTCGGCAGACAGCTTGTAGTTCTCAATTAACTGTGAGGCTCTGATAAGCGCTGTCATAGTTGATTGAGCTTTCCTGACTTCAGTAACTGTCTGCCTATACATTCTTTGCCAGAAAAGAAATCTTGCTGTGTTGCATCTGATTTCTTTTTTGTCAAGGAGAGACAAATGGGTCTGAGGAAACCCTTTCCAATGAAAATTATCAAGAGAACTGGACTCTGTTTTGCTTAAAACTGGAGATTCTGTGATTGGGGCACAGCATGAGTCCAGGAGTGTGTACACATTTCAAACCACTAATGTCATGGTCATCTGGCAAATTTGTATGCAATAATTCAAGAATCGTCCAAAATACAGTATATAGCCTCAATCAGCATGCATTCATTTCTGCTGTCATAGTCACTTTAGTGATGAAACAGAAATAGGTGATTTTTCATAAACCTACCTTCAATTTTGGATATTCTTATCGTTTTGTGCTGCTTTCTTGACAAACTTGCAATTTTGGGGATACTTATTATGTCCATTGATCCTACAAAGATGGGCCCACTCATTTTTTACTTTTTCTACTTGATTAACTTTTTCTTGGAGCTGACATTGTTGAAAAGGACAAGTCAAATGTAAAATGATCTGATTAGTATCTGGACTGTTCCTGTTTAGTTAAGAAAAGTCATGTTTCTACCAGTGTAACAGTCTGTAAGCTGAAAGCCTATAAACCCAGTGACCTCCTAAGGTGCAGGTCTGTAATGTCCAGCACCACTCTGCATAAGATATGGATCAACAGTATATACTCACTCTCAAAGTGCTGTGTTTCATCATGGGGAACTTATTTAAAAACATTTTTTTCAGTGTTATTTTTCAAATGTTAAAGTGGTTCTAAAGGCTGAAGGTTTTGTTTTTTTTTAAATCTTCATGCATTTTATGCATGAAGGTTAAACACTATCAGTGTGCAGCTCCCCCCTCAGCCCCTCCTAATACAAATACCAATCTTGATCCAGTGATGTGCACGAAAGCAGTGACTCTCCCGGGTCTCTCCTTCCTCATTGCCTGAGGCACAGAAGCGAGAGCCAATGTCAATCACAGCCAGTGAGGAGGACTACTTTAATCATTCTGTAGTCCCGGTATAGGGACTGGAAGGGCTAATTACTCTCCTTGAGATAACACAGATAGTGTGGAATGGACATAAGACAGCTCTGAATTTCTGGAATGTTCAGCAGATATTTTCTTACACTTACTGAACAAATATACCAATATGTTTTTAAGGTATATTTAACAGACTAAAAGAAAGCAAATAGCAGAAGTTAATTGTTTGGGTTTACATACACTTTGATGTTACTCTTTCTGCTTTTTCTTATAACTTACAAAGGTAATGTAGCTGTGTGGTGGTAGGCACCATAAAGTGTCTGCTTTTACCTTTCTGGTTCCCCTCTTCCACCTCCAGTTGCCCACAAAATCCCTCTACTGCTATTGACCATCTGAAAGAAGATAGTTACTCAGGCAGTGACAGCAGATCAGAAGGTAAAAAGGGGTGAGAGGGACCTGGCAATGAAGACGTAAGTACTTAATTGTGCTTGCTACCATACCTCTACCTTAGGCCCATGGGTAGAGGTATGGTGGCAAGCACTCACTGGCACTAGCAAATTAATAGACAAGATTACTATGGAAGCAGTGAGAACACCCACTTGCTACTACTGTCTGTTAGTATCACCCCACCACTTTTCCCTTAATGGAATGCAAATTTCTGTAGCATTTCATCCAGCAAGAGAGCTTAAAGCTGAAATTTTAATTTAGCCTGTGCAGAGAGCAGTAGCCCTCCCACTACAGGGTTCCTGCAGAGAATCACAAGAGGGGCAGACATAAGACCTGTCACCCTGCACAAGGAGACAGAGCAGCAGTGACTTTTACAGGAAGGTCCTGCACAGTGGTAACATTTCACACTGGTTTACTAAACAGATCTGAAAGAAATATATTTGTATTCAGACAATATATGCTTGTTCTGGAGTTCAGCTTTAAGGGAACTCAGTTTGTTGATGTGAATATGCTGACTTTAATTCACTTGTGTCCAAAGTACAAGCCCAGACATTTACTGACCGTAGGGAAAATGCTATCAGCTGCTCATAGTGGAGAACAATTTGGTTTGGGCTGTGTGCTTCTAATTTCTCTTTCTTAAAGCTGATCATGCCTGTTTTGTGGTTGGTTTGACAATGATGGAGGAGATTCATTTCCACAAGACGTGATGTTTCAGCAGCAGGCCTAGTAATTTGTTTTTCATTTGAAAGCTGCACTGCATGTTTTTGCTGAAATATAGACGCCAGAAACACACAAGATGGGAAACAATATGCTGTAGATATGCTTTAATATTTTTATCTAATGTTAGATCACTAGCAAATCTTAAGTTTCTTCACATAAGAAAGGGTTTGAACATTCCCTTTATCAACCAATATATAAAAAAATGTAAATTATACTTAGAACATACTTAATATTAGTATATTATTGGTATAAATGATATGACTATTCATGCTGTAAAAAAGTATTGATACCATTGAGGGCATATTCACATAATTTGCATTGGACTACACTGGGTAACCTCACTCAGCAGAGTCCCAATGCAAACACAAAACAATTTGCCTTGTTTTCTATAGAGTCAGTTCACACCACTGCATTGTTGTGGTGTGTGCTGAAAAAAGTACTGCAAGTTCACTTCAGCATGTTGCGATGCACTCTTCCACCTTGCACTGCTTCTGCAGTGAGTGAGTTGAATAAAATGTCACTTGTGTATTCAGCACAGCTTGCTGGTGTGAACGGGTACGTAACTACAGACAGATATAATATACTCCATTTACTGTACAATCACCAGCCACTTTATTAGGTACACCTTGCTAGTACTGGGTTGGACCCCCTTTTGCCTTCAGAACTGCCTTATTTCTTTGTGGTATATATTCAACAAGGTGTTGAGAACATTCCTCATAGATTTTAGTCCATATTGACATGAGTTACTGTTGCCTTTCTATCATCTCAAGCCAGTCTGCCCATTCTCCTCTGTCCCCTGACATCAACAAGGCATTTTCGTCCACACAACTGCCGCTCACTGGATATTTTCTCTTTTTCGGACGATTCTTTGTAAACCCTAGAGATGGTTGTGCGTAAAAATCCCAGTAGATGAGCAGTTTTTTAAATACTCAGACCAGCCTGCCTGGCACCAACAACCATGTAATTTTCAAAGTCACTTTCTTCCCCATTCTGGTGCTCGGTTTGAACTTCAGCAAGTTGACTTCACCACATCTAGATGCCTAAATGCATTGAGTTGCTGCCATGTGATTGCCTGATTAGCAATTTGTGTTACCAAGCAATTGAACAGTTTTAACTAATAAAGTGGCTGGTCAGTATATATGTTATACAGTCACTAAAAAGTGAATTCAGATACTATAAATACTTGAATGCATAGTTATATTAGCCTTTCTGTAATTCTCTGTGCAGTAAGGCTTATGGGAAAAGAAAGCAAAGTGAAAAATGCAAGGGCAAACAACAATATTATTTGAATGCATGTCCATACAATAGCTTATTCTAATCTTCCCTTTTCAAAATCCCCCCACTGTTGTTTTTGCTGCTGTAGTAAGGAGAAAGAACCCTTTGTAAGCTACTAGTCAGTCCACCTCAGGGCTTATACAGGGCTGAGGACTCCTTCCTACCCCCATGCAACTTTGCTGGTTCCTGAGCAACCATGTGCCAAGCACCAGCACCGTTACTGTTGTTGGTGCTTGGTAATTTGCAGCCCCGGCACCCAGCATTGTCACATGGCAGTGGAAGAGAGAGTCTTCATTTCAGTCTTGTGTAAGTTGTGACTGGGATCGACTCAGAGCTTACAAAGGGCTGTTGTAGGGAAAGGCAGGCATCTGGCATAATTCAAACAATTGGCCATCTAACTCTGTCATCTAGACCCCCAATTCTCTAGCTAGCTAATATATAATCATTCTGGCCTTGTGATGTAATGCAAATAAGTGAAAAACCACATTTCATGTGGTGCAGATTAGATTCCCTGCCTTCACGTTGTTCAGAGTCTGACAGATTGCACAGGAGAATAGTTAATGTTTTCCTCACGAGTCACACATTTCTCTTTTGGGATTTTGAAGTTGGGATGACACAGCAAGCTGCTATAACATGACATCTGCTTCCTCTCGGGCATTTATGACAGATTTATGGGCATCCTATAATGTATGGATGATCCGCTAAAACATTAACATTATAGTTCTGAAGTGAGCAGAATTAACACGTCTTAGGTGCTTGAAGAAAAGCTGTAACAGACAGTCACTCCCTTACCTCATAGCTATAGAGTACAAAAACAGATGTGATAAGCTGCCAAGAGGTTCATGAATTACCCAAGAAAGATTCATCTCTCCTGCCTTCACATTCCCAGCAACTGTCAGCAATAATAAGTAGAAAAAAATGGGGAATAAAGAGAAGAATATGAAGACTTGTTATTTCTTCATTCAAGAAAACAACCAGCTACAAAATGTTTATATTAAATAGGACCTGCAAAGAAAGAAATATGAAAGCTGCCATTGCTGACTTTGATTTTTAAAGGTGCAGGCATCAGAGCTGCCATCATGACTTTACTATTTATTGATTGTCTAAGCTGGAACAGGCAGGCAGGATAAAAGTGAGACTTTTAAGACTTTTCCGCCTGCAGGCTTCAATCCAGGTGATTGGCACAGTGGGGATGATTTAATAACAAAGGAGTAGAGATTGTTCACTTTGCAAAGGGAATGTTCACTCAAGTTAAGCTGGCCATAGACAGAGCAATATTCTTTCCTGCAACTATGGGTTGCAGGAAAGAAAATCACTCAATTCCCCCATCAACACAGTCAGTGTTGATGGGGAAATCCCCCTTGCGGAGCCATTGTGTTCTCCCAGTGGGCGGAGCTGTCCCTGCTGAGAACACAGTGATTACTGCTGGCACCTATAATAGCCGCTAGCAATAATTTCATGTAAAATCTGACAGGCTGATTGCACCCAAGCTGATCAATCAAATTTGGTACATTCAGCCTACCCATACATGGTTTGAATCTCCGCCGCTCCCTGCTGAAGCAGCCGAAATATGAGTAATTTATGGCTGGCTTTAGTAAGTTCTGTGTTCATTTTGAATACCTAGTAATATGCAAGGAAATTAGATTTTTTTTTAAGATGATTGATATATGATTGAAGTGAACGCACTTTAGCCTTATTTACAAAGCTTTTACAAGTGATCAAGTGAAAGTAAAATAACCTTTAGGTAGACTCACCCCTGGAGACAGCACTATAAAAAAAAACAAATGAGCAGAAAGCTACTTACTATTTTCTTGGAGAACCTAAGAGAAATATGCTCTCCAACACCTAACAAAAATGGGGGGGGGTTGGGGGGGGGAAATATATATATATTTATTTATTTACTTATTTTCGAAAACATTTATCCAGGAATGCTAAGGTTTCTCATGGTGGATGCACCTAACATTACTAATAGGTTTTTGGCTCATCAACAAAAAGTCACCTTTGGAGATTTATTGTTAGCTGATTTTAAAGGGTTCGGAAAAGTGATAAATGCATGAAAACCTAAACACATTCCGCTTCAGGCATTAGTCTAAAAATGGTATTTCTGATATTTGTTATCCTTATAACAACTGTTTTCCTTTATTACAGACTATCCAAATGGTATTCGTCTCACATCAGCAATTCCAGGAGCTGACATTAAAGTTCTGATTAACTTTAATGCTCCAAATCCTCAAGATCGCAAGAAGTTCACAGACGATTTAAGAGAATCCATTGCAGAGGTTCAAGAAATGGAAAAGTACAGAATAGAGAGTAAGTACAAAGGTATATACCCTATGGACTTATTCAGGAAAATAACTTAATCTTCCACAACTTATTTTAAAAGTCATTAATACTGTATACATTTCATATGGATCTTTGTTATAAGTAAGATAAATCAGCATACACATTTAAATGCATATAATAAATTTTCCCATCCTCCAGTATTTGGATATTTTTAGACCACTAACAGGACGATTCTATAAAAGTGAAATAAAGTAAAGATAGAGAGGTGCCTGCAACAACCAATCAGTGGGTTTCTTCATTTAAGGCTTTTCAGTAAAGGAGTACACAATGGGGTTTATTTACTAAAGCTGGAGAGTCCAAAATCAGACTCCCTTCTGCATAGAAACCAATCAGCTTCCAGGTTTCATTGCCAAAGCTTCATTGAACAAGCTGAGGTTAGAAGCTGATTGGTTTCTATGCAGAAGGGAGTCTGATTTTGGACTCTCCAGCTTTAGTAAATAAACCCCATCGTGTCTGAGTGATGAAATCTTAGAGCCATTAAAGTGTTACTAAACCCACAACAGTAAAATCAGTCTATATATGCAGTAAAGCATGCTTGTTATACTCACTGTGGAACCTAAGGGGTTAATCCTCTGCATTGTGTAAAAAAATCTGTTTGATCCTGTCTTCTCTGATCTCCCCCTTCCTCAACTGTCCCCAATCTATCTGCTGATAGTACAGAGCTCTGGGAGTCACTCTGCACATGCTCAATGTAGTGAGTATTGCTATAGAGGTTTTTTTTGGGGGGGAGGGTGCATGTGATCAGCACAGGGCCAATCTGTACTGTCCAGACAGAGGGACACGGGTTATGCAGCCTCTTAGGACAGTCATTGGAGATTGAAAAGTCCTCCTACAAGTTTTAACCAGTGCTCAGCTGGACACTGATAGAAGTCACAAGACTGCTATATACTGCAGATGAGAAAAGGTATTTAGCAGTTTATATTTACTAAAATAATTGCATTTCCATGTTGTGTGTACTGTGGGAGACCAGATATAGTGATTGCAGGGGCATGGGATTAGTAACACTTTAATGAGAAAGCAAAGCAGCATTACCAGACTGTATATGCAATTTATAGCTCTAATAGGAGGAAGTCCTTGCAGCCTCAGTGCTTTATATCCCTGTTACCTCTAATATGGATATAAATTCACATTAAACAACAGCAAAATAGAGCTGAAGTATCATGGATGCTTAGGAGACAAATAGTAAACAGCACATGAATAATGGCAGGATAAGGAGCAGATTTCCTCCTTATTGACTCTGGAATTTCCCTATCTCCCCCATGGCCCCTTTCACATGCTGGGGTTTTTATCCATTGAGGTTTGACACCTAAGAAACGTGACATTTTTGGCACATATTACCTCTTTCTTCTATAAATGAATACCAAATGCATAGGGATACTTCTGACAACTCTACCCCACTGTTTGGATCTATTTGAGCAATTAAATGCATTGATTAAGTATATGTAAACCAATGATGGATGTTGGTATAATGAAATTTACACATTGTGGGGTAGATAAGATGTATGTCTTAGAGCAGACTCTCCCAACTTTTTCAATGCAGAAGATTGAAATAACTTACCAGTCTCAAGGAACCCCTGCTAAAAATTACTATATCTGTAACTCGTGGAACATTCGTGTGATGGTCAGTGGGAAGAATACTTCTTGCACTTGTGGTCATTGGGAAGAATTAAATGTGTAAAGTGCAATGCCTAAAGCAAAACAAAATTATAATATAAATAAATAAAAATATTCAAACACTATATACCACTAAATAAATAGCATCAGCCAGCACTTACAACTACAGTGGGGATCGAAAGTTTGGGCACCCCAGCTAAAAAATTTGTATTAATGTGCATAAAGAAGCCAAGGAAAGATGGAAAAATCTCCAAAAGGCATCAAATTACAGATTAGACATTCTTATAATATGTCAACAAAAGTTAGATTTTATTTCCATTATTTACACTTTCAAAATAACAGAAAACAAAAAAAAGGCGTCTGCAAAAGTTTGGGCACCCTGCAGAGTTAATATCTTGTACTGCCCCCTTTGGCAAGTATCACGGCTTGTAAACGCTTTTTGTAGCCAGCCAAGAGTCTTTCAATTCTTGTTTGAGGTATCTTTGCCCATTCTTCCTTACAAAAGTCTTCCAGTTCTTTGAGATTTCTGGGCTGTCTGTCACGCACTGCTCTTTTAAGGTCTATCCATAGATTTTCAATTATGTTGAGGTCAGGAGATTGTGAAGGCCATGGCAAAACCTTCAGTTTACGCCTCTTGATGTAATCCCCCGTGGATTTCGAGGTGTGTTTAGGATCATTATCCATTTGCAGAAGCCATCCTCTCTTTAACTTCAGCTTTTTCACAGATGGCATCAAGTTACCATCCAAAATTTGCTGAAATTTTATTGAATCCATTTTTCCTTCTACTCGTGAGATGTTCCCTGTGCCACTGGCTGCAACACAACCCCAAAGCATGATTGATCCAACCCCATGCTTAACAGTTGGACAGAGGTTCTTTTCATTAAATTCTGTGCCCCTTCTTCTCCAAACGTACTTTTGCTCATTCTGGCCAAAAAGTTCAATTTTAACCTCATCGGTCCACAGAACTTGTTTCCAAAATGCATCAGGCTTGTCTATATGTTCATTTGCAAAGTTCAAACGATGATTTTTGTGGTGAGGACGTAGAAGAGGTTTTCTTCTGATGACTCTTCCATGAAGACCATATTTGTACAAGTATCTCTTTATAGTGGAATAGTGTACCACAACTCCAGTGTCTGCCAGATCTTTCTGGAGGGATCGTGCAGTCAAACGTGGGTTTTGAATTGTTTTTCTCACAATCCTGTGAGCTGTTCTGTCTGATATTTTTCTTGGTCTTCGAGATCTTGCTTTAACTTTCACTGTTCCTGATGACTGCCATTTCTTAATTACATTTCGAACAGAGGATATTGACATCTGAAAACGCTTTGCTATCTTCTTATAGCCTTCTCCAGCTTTGTGAGCGTCAACTATTTTCAGTTTCAGTTTTCTAGACAACTGCTTAGAAGAACCCATGGTGCTGATTGTTGGGGCAAGGTCAGATGAATCTGGGCATTTAAAACCTTTGAGATTGACATAACCTGGTCTTCCCAGACGATGATTGAGAACAATCCATGACACTGGCAGGTCTCAGCTTTGCAAAGGGGGCAGTGCATGCTATAAATTCTGCAGGGTGCCCAAACTTTTGCAGATGCCATTTTTTTGTTTTCTGTTATTTTGAAAGTGTAAATGATGGAAATAAAATCTAACTTTTGTTGACATATTATAAGAATGTCTAATCTGTAATTTGATGCCTTTTGGAGATTTTTCCATCTTTCCTTGGCTTCTTTATGCACATTAATACAAATTTTTAGCTGGGGTGCCCAAACTTTCGATCCCCACTGTATAGCTGTGAAGTCAGCACTCAGAAACTTTTAACTGTGGTGGCCATAGCTGTAAGTGACAGCGAATGCTATTCAGTTTTATATGGTTTATATATGTTATGCTGCATTGTTTTTTAATAAATACTATACCATGAGAGATCTGTTTGGCTCCGGTCTGTAAGCATTTACTCCACATAGTAGCAGTATTTACCTTTGTCCTCTGGACGGTGGTGTCACAGTCTGTGGTGCAGCCAATGAGGTGCCATCTTAAAGGGACCGGAGAGTAGTATTGCCAGGAATTTAATAAAGTGCTTTAGCTGGTATTGTATTTGCAGCCAAATCCTCTGGTGAGTGCGGAGTGTTGATAGTGGTACTTGCATGGTGGATATCACAAAGTTTTTTTTTTTTATATAATTAATGATGGAAATTTGATGCACTTTATCCTGTACAAACTTGGTATATTTTTGGATCCTTTTCTTTTATGACTATTTATGCACTGGAGAATGGAATTTTTCATGTTGTAATGAAGGAATTGGACTTTTATTGATAAATTGCACATTAGACATTTACAAGATGAATTGCACCATATATTGATTAATTGCATGTTTTTTGTTTAAGTGGTTTATTGCACACTTTTATTTCATTATTTATCGGTATAACATTTTTGAATATTTAAAATTTTTTAGGATATTTTTGTGTTGCTATTGGCGCTGCACTTTACACATTTATTCATACTGGAGGGTTTTGTATATTGACCTTGCTGCTAGCCACCTTTTTCCTTTCCACTGAGCACTAATACCTTTTACACCACTGGGAAGCATTACCCACTTACAGATAGCTAAAAAGGTCAATAAAGTCAGTGGAAACTTATCTGAGAGGCAGAAATTTCTCATTGATCAAGGAACCCTTAAAAACCTTTGGAGGAACCTTAGAGTTTCATGGAACCCTGGTTGAGCAACCCTGTCTTAGAGGAATCATGTTCAACCCCCAAGTGAAAGTATAGGTGTACTTATGAAATGTTTTTGTATATGAATTTATTGATTTATTTATGTATATACAGTATGTATTACTGCACAGTTCTGTGCAAACGTTTTAGGCAGGTGTGAAGAAAAGCTGTAAAGTAAGCATGCTTTCAAAAATATATATTGTTTTGTCAATTTGCAAAGTGAGCAAACAGAAGAAAAATCTACATCAAAACAATATTTGGTGTGATAACTCTTTTGGCTTCAAACCAGCATCAATTCTTATGCTTTCACACTTTGTACACTTTCACAGTCAGGGATTTTGTAGGTTTATAGTCAGGTGTAAGATTAACCAATTATACCAAGCAGTTGCTAATGATCATCAATTTAATATGTAGGTTGAAACACAGTCATTAACTGAAACAGCTGTGTAGGCGGCTTAAAACTGGATGAGAAACAGCCATCACTGCTACTAAGGTGAGGTTGTGGAAGACCGTTTCCTGTCACAGGTCATACACCATGGCAAGACTGAGCACAGCAACAAGACACGAGATAGTTATACTGCATCAGCAAGGTCTCTCCCAGGCAAAGATCTCAAAGCAGGCTTGAGTTTCAAGATGTACCGTTCAAGTTCTTTTGAAGAAGCACAAATAAACAGGCAATGTTGAGAACCATAGACGCAGTGGTCGGCCAAGGAAACTTAATAGACATGTCATGCTTACTTCTCTTTGGCAGATGTCCAGTAGTGCCCAGTTACACCCATCTTCTACTGTCCGAACAAGAAAATGTATATTATATTTGGCGCGCTTGTTGGAGCCCAACCTCTGTAGCTGTAGGATAAAAGTGCCAGGTGGATATCAGAGATGGATGGATGGATGGGAACAGTAACACTGAGGCAGCTCTTCTTAGAGTCGAAGCAAGGTTCTAATGCAGTAACAAGAAAAAGAGAGGAAGGCGCCTCTAAGTGCAGTATTGACATTTTATTTAGTAAACAATGGATAAATTGCACTTACAAGATAAATAGTTAAAAAGACTCATTGTGTGGTAATTAGATCCAGGTGGGACATCCAGCCGTCCAGCAGCAAACTCTGTCTATAAGATCAGGAAGTAGAGTCACTACTGCACTTAGAGGCACCTTCCTCTCTTTTTCTTTTTACTGTCCGAACAAGTCTGCCCAGAAGTGGTTCTCATTGAGGAATTGCGGCCAAAAAAGCCATGTCTGCAATGTGGAAACAAGGCTAAGCAACTGAACTATACACAAAAGCATAGGAACTGGGGAGCAGAAAAATGGTAGCAGGTGCTCTGGGCCGATGAGTTGCAATCTCAGGCAGGTTGTTTGTTTAAGGGCTGGAGAGCAGTACAACTGCAGGCAAAAGTGAAGCGTGGTGGAGGTTCTTTGCAAGTTTGGGGATGCATTTCTGCAAATAGATTTGGAGATTTGGTCAGGATCAATGGTGCCCTCAATGCTGAGAAAAACAGGCAGATACTTATCTATCATGGTATACCATCTAGGAAGTGTATGATTGGCTCCAAATGTAATCTGTAGAAGGACAACGACCTCAAACATACAGCCAATGTGATTAAGAACTACCTTCACACCAGAACAAGGAGTCCTGGAAGTAATGGTTTTGCCCCCGCAGAGCCCTGATCTCATCATCACCAGGTCTGTCTGAGATTAGATGAAGAGACATAAGGATTTGAGGCAGTCTACATCCACATAACGATCTGTGGTTAGTTCTCCCAAGATGTCTGGGACAACCTACATGCCGAATTCCTTCAAAAACTGTGTGCAAATGTACCTAGAAGAATTGATGCTGTTTAGAAGGCAAAAGATGGCCACACCAAATAGTGATTTGGATTTCTCATATGCTCGTTTACTTTCCATTTTGGTAATTGACAAAAAAATAAACTATTAACACTTTTATTTCTGAAAGCATTCTTAATTTAAATATTTTTTCACATGTCTAAACCTTTTGCAAAGTAGTGTATATACAATAAAATACTTATTTTTTTAATTAATTCACATTTAGATTTTTGGTTGGCACCCTGAAAGTTACTTTCAGTATTACTACATTTTTAGCTTACTTAATATATAAATCAGTTCTAGAAATCTGGAGACATAATATCAGTAATTGATATGAACTACATTTCTACTTTTAAACTGTTTTACAATATCACCCAAACACAAACCCAGAATGCAAAACTCCCCAATCCATCCAAGTCTCCATGCTTTATTTTACTGAAATATAACGTTGAAAAACACCCCCCTAGCATTTCTGGCTGTGACCATTTTGAGTAAGGTCAGATGATTCATGTTGCATTTACTTCCTGTAATCCATCTGCCCTTAGCTTAGACATGCAGGCAGGAGGGTGGGCTTAGGTGAGAAAACTCCTTCTTCCCTCCTGAAGACTCCTGGAATGTATGACATCATTTGCCTAGGAATGAAAACCAGGAAGTAACTGAATAAATGTGAAAAAAAAGTTTATAACAAGTAAATATGATATATTTTCCTATTTATTTGCTAATGCTAGCAGCATAAGGCTTAAAAATAGTCAATGTTGACCGAGAGCATGAAGTTCCACTTTAACTATTTTAACCACTTCCGCACTGCATTATAGCAGAAATACTGCTACAGGGCAGCACAGGTGCGCAAAATCACATATATACATGATTGTGCAGTTCCGGGTAGGGGGCACGGCCTCTACTGTCAATCACCGGGTCCTGGACAGTGATTTCTTGCTGGCACCAAGTGATCCCCAAGTATCTTTAACAGGGGAGAGACCTGTGTATAAACAGCACAGATCTCTCCCCTCCTGCACACTTCTTTGCATTCAAAGCAGTGTGCTTACAGTGAAGCACAGCATACAGCCTCATAGTAAAACAGCACACAGTTAACCCTTTGATCGCCCCACAAGTTAACTCCTTCCTGCCCAGTGCCATTAATACAGTGTCAGTGCTTTTTATTAGCACTGATCACTGTATTGGTGTCACTGGGGATGTCAGTGACACAAAGTCAGTTCCCCCCAGTGTCAGAATGCCTCCCACAGTCCTGCTATAAGTCGCTGATTGACGCCATTACTAGTAAAAAATACAATTTCAGTATTTACCATCATTTTTACATGCTATAACTGTGACGTAAACTAATTAATTCACACTTATTGGGATTTTTTTTTAGTAAAGACATGTAGCAGAATACATTTTGGCCTAATTTTATGCTGAAATTTGATTTTTTTTTTCTGGACGTGTTTAATAGCAAAAAGTTAAAAATATTGTTTTTTTTTCTCAAAAATTGTCGGTCTTATTTTGTTTATAGCGCAAAAAATAAAAAAACATACACAGGTGATCAAATACCACTGAAAGAAAGCTCCATTTGTGAGAAAAAAGGGGAGAAAATATCATTTGGATGCAGCGTTGCATGACTGTGCAATTGTCAGTTATAGTAACGCAGCACCATATTGCAAAAATGGCCTGGTCAGGAAGCGGGGGTAAATCCTCTGGAGGGCAAAAGGAACTTACAACTTTGAGGAGAGTGCATCAATTAACAATGGGATATAAAAAAAAATGTATTTCAGAACTGTGTTACAAATGTATGTAAAACAGCTAATGTCCTTTTGTATTTTTATTCTGTTTACTTTAGCGGAGTTAGAGAAGCAGAAGGGGGTGGTGCGTCCAAGCATGTCTCAGTGTTCCAGCTTGAAAAAGGAATCTGGTAATGGCACTTTGAACCGGACATGCCTTGATGACAGTTACGCCACAGGGGAGGGCCTGAAACGCAGTGCCCTCAGCAGCTCCCTTAGGGACCTGTCTGAAGCAGGTAAGAACCTTTATATCATACCTGGTTATGAGCTTAATATACACAAATATGTATATTCTATCTAAATATACCATAATTTGTGATGTATACAGCCGTAACCCTGACATGAGACTATTGATTTGGTTTATTTGCTTTTTTGTTTATTATTTTGAAAACTGAACCATTGTAGATTACTATGTATACTTGTAACGGAGAGTGAAGACAGTGGAAAGCGTAAGTGGAATTGTAGAATTAGAAGCAGACAGACCCAGGTCCATGTAACAATTGCTTCCTGTGAATCCTTTGCTTCTGTGTACCTGTGCATTACATTCGATGAATGAAATGGAGTGAAGACCATCTAAATTCACAGCAGCTGAACATTGCAGTGCGGTAGAAGATAGTAGTCCTGCTTCATGATGCCTCCATATTTAATTAGCTGCAATTGTGTTACAGCATCTACCTCCATTAGACTACTGAAATGTGGACCATTATCTTCTGCTGTCATTAAAAGAGTTTTACAATTATAGCATAATATCAAGTACATCCAACACAAATTCAGGAAGGATATTTAACATATGGAAACAGAAAAATTGCGGACAAATAGAAAGTAACTAGAAGAGTAGACAGATTTTTTTTTTTACTCTATTGTAGTAATCTGTGGGCCCCATGTAATGCCAAATTTAAACCCTAGCTAATTATTACCGTAATTCAGTCAGCTGCATATACAGTAATAAATATAGGGCTTTTTTACACTCTTAACCGCTAAGTACTACAGTAAGGCTTCTAATAACCTGTGCTAGTCACACATAGATGAATTGAGCCATGGATCTCCCATGTAAAGCAGGATCTTGACTCTCAGTTGGTCAGACACAATCCCACAAAGACTTCTCCAATCAATATTGCTGCTTAGGCAGTGAGAGCACCTTTGATTAGAACAGTGTTAAGGGATAGTTTTGCGGATTGCTGCTTTGTGTAAGAGAGCTGAATTCTGACTAACCTTTTTGCTGTCAGCACAGGGTTTCTTAACCCTTGCTGCAGCGCATAGCAGTCAACAAAAGAAAAGTCATATATTTTTGCAGCCTTACTGCATTACAGTAATAAATAGCAAGGGTTCAATAGATCTTTAACAATCTTCCAGGTGGAGGGACTGCCTCAGGGATAGTGCTGCCTATAGCAAACAAAAGGTGCTTCCTTTCAGTCCTCCATACTGCAGCAAAGGATGAAAACCAGTATCTGTTTAAACACTATGAACAGCATTATGTCTGAGATAATTCTTCCATCAGCCATATAAATAAACTGTATCTGGTAAAATTTGGTGTAGCTGACCTCATATCTGCCTCAAATACAGTGCATGCTTCCCTGACTAACATGGTAAAATACTGCAGTTGAACACGACCTTACATTTGTTCAATCTATAATGGTGGAAAAAATTTAGGAATTGCGTTTTAGAAGGTTTTTGAAGTACTGCTGTAGAATAGGCAGTTTTCCTATAGACCGTGTAACAAAACAGAATTGCATTTTAGTATTTTATTCTACCCTAAGCCTTATGTTTTAATCTCTTCATTCTCCCTGCTCTCATAAGGTTTCATCCATACTCATGCTCTGCCATTCATTGTACAAATCTTACAGCAATTCATCAACATCAATATTTTCTGTTATCCATTGCTCATACCATCCACTCATTTTATAATGGTTCAGGTAGCCAAAATCCACATGAAATGCTCCACATTTGATTAAAACCTTTTACTAGTCATAACTGTAGAAAAGGATGAGCAGCACAGGGTACCCCTCCATTGCCTCCTACTTTTACATTCTAATAGTGTTGCGAACATATTTCTTGTAAGCCGGTTTTGTAGTTGGTAGTGCAGTAGGCAAACAGCCAAGAATCTTTTTTCTTATGCTGTGTTAACACTTGTTTGCCTTACCTATGTCACTCTCATTGCATTAAGAGGTTATTGTAGAAAAGGCATGGAAGGGAGAAGTGCGTTTTTAAAACAAAAATGAAAATGAGCAGCAAAAAATGGTGAAAGTTGAAAGAAGGATTGCACAAGATTGCCACATACTTTATAACAACAAGCTGTGGGTACAAAAAATAAATATTTACATTTTATTGCTGTATCAATTACACCAGCTAAAGACCTGGATAACCATGAATACGAGACACCAAGCTTTTTCACTCTGTCTCCTAGCTGCCCATTTATTGATTGTTCATATAATGTCTTCAGCTTACAAATTCTATGTGATCTATGAATGGGGAGAGCGGATCTATCAATCATTCAGTGTCCTCCATTCAAAAAACCTGTTTCATTCATAGAATCTGTAGTAACAGCTTCAATGAATAGATTACCTGGGCAGAAAAAGCAGACATAGTAGGGCAGTCTTGGTGACTGTCTGTCACAGCCCCTTATTTCTATTAAACTCCACCTCACCAGACAAAAACTGGTATACTACAATATACTACATTTTATGTGGTGGCTGCATTATTTTTTTTCTGGCTTTTTTCCCTCCATATTTTACCTGGTAATCCTGAAAATAAAACACCTCTAGGCTTTGAAATGTAAATATTCTATTAATCATGATTCATCCTGTGCTTAGAATAGACACACATATTCTAGTGTATTTTAAGTGATTCTACAGGCTCAAGGTTTTTTACCTGCATGCATTCTGTGCATGAAGGTAAAAAACCTTCTGTGTGTAGCATCTCCTACAGCCCCCCTAATACTCACCTACATCCTCTCTAGATCCAGCGATGTGTACTGGAGTCTCGGCTATCCCGGGACTCCCTCTCCTCATTGGCTGAGACAGAACGGGAGCCACTGGCTCTCACTGTTGTCGATCACAACCAGTGAGCCAATGAGTAGAATGATGGGGCAGGGCCGAGCCGCGGCTGTGTGTGTGAATGGACACACAGAGCAGCAGGTGCCCCCATAGCAAGCTGCTTGCTGCGGGGGCACTCACAGGAAGGAGGGGCCAGGAGTGCAGGCGGGGGACTCGAGAAGAGGTGGATCCGGGCTGCTCTGGGCAAAATCACTGCACTGAGCAGGTAGGTATAGACATGTTTGTTATTTTTTCTTAAACAAAATAAGCCTTTAGAATCACTTTAACAATACAGGTATCCTTTAGTGAGGACCTGAACTCTGGAAGCTGTGCTCAAATAGACAGACAGAGGGCAAGTGACTAGTAACCAGTATTGCTTGTAGGTACCCTGCAGCTGACCATTTCCTCATAACTGACTTACAATTCCTTGTTCTGCATTATGTCTCCGTGTGAAGGAAGCCATTTTAATGGCTTTGCTTTCTCATGTTAGAGCTTCTGCCCTGATAATTGGTGATTTGATGGATGGCAGAGGAATATTCAAGAAGCAGCAGGAGAAATGTGGAAAGCACAGATCTAAAAAATAGAGCAGGGGCATCTTTTGTGCAGTGCAGGTCTTCAGGTACAGCTCCCCAGTAAAAAGAATGCAGCAGTATTCAACAAATTCACTTCAGATCTGCAAGATTATCATGCAGAGAAAGCAGTGCCTTCCAAACAGCAGTTATGAAGCTGTAGGCGCGATACAAAAGTGTATTTTTCAGGATGCTGCTTAGGCACAATTAACATCTCAAGGTGTTCCCTTATACCATAGCAGACTTTCACTGTATGAGTCCAGGTCCACTTTAAGCTGATTATGACTGGTGAAACTTGAGCACTGCTTAGAGTTTCTCAGGGCCAAGAGTGATGGGTGTAATTATTGAATAAACACTATTTCATTAATAGCGAACAATCACCATCAAAAGCCCAAGGATGAAAATGCTTGAAATAAAAGGACATTTTTGCATTTACGGGAAAGGGATTAAACTACGGTAATTTATAAAAGTTTAGGTAAACGCTGACAAAGTAAAGGCAGAATGTCTTCCTGCAGTGTGTTTGACGTAGCAATAAGTTTCTCTTAGTAGCCCAGTCTGGCTGGAAACTAACCAAACCATCAGCTCTGCTGGGGGTTGTTCAGCTTCATGAGATCTTGTAGGAAAATAGATCCATAACTGTAGTACATAACTAATGTAGAAATTTTGAGCTTAGCAAACTTTGGTTAAATACTTAAATGTGGACCGCTGTACTCTTATGTGCCAGGGCTGCGCTCTAGCCCAAGTATTTGTGGCGTCAAGGGAAATTATATATTTTGTCAAAGCCCCTTAATTTAATGACTGTGAAAAGGGCAATTGAACAAACCACAACTGTGTCCAGTCTGCTGAAATGACAGAACAGATATTTAATTAGGACTTCATGTTATAAAAACATCTCCAGATGTCATGACTCACTTACTGGCTCTGATGTCCAGGAGTAGCTCCAGATTGAGCATTGGGTCTCTATAGTCCTTCTGTTTAAGAGGGAAAATACTGGCCTGTTAAAGGAAAACTCCTGTCAAAAATAAATAGTAATTTGATTAAATCTCGTTTCACAGTTTTGAGAATATTTAGAGATGTATGACAAGATATTGATGCTTGTCCTATAGTGAAATGGAGTACTATTTCCGTATGGTAGTATTGTGTTTGTTTCAGTTATGACTCATTACATGACTATCTAGACCTTTTTTCAAAAAAAAAATTTTGCCTTAAAGTGTTTGCAAAAGCTCAAGGTTTTTTATCTTCATGAATTCTTTGCATGAAGGTAAAAAATCGTCTGTGTACAGCAGTACTCTCAGCCCCCGCAGTAGTTACCTGAGTCCCATCACAATCCAGTGATGTGTTTTAAGCAATAATTATGCAAACTTTAATATTTACTACAAAAAAAATTACATTTGCTAGGAATATACAACATAAAGATTATTTTCAAAGATAACAGAAAGGCATACCTTGAAGTTTAATATTTTGCATTCTTTTTTGTGTTTTGCAAGAACACTATAAATACGACACAAAATAGTTTTGCAATAGTGTCAGTCCCCAGTACCTCCCACTGCCTGTTGACATTGCACCAATAAGGTGTACTTATTGGACTGTTAGAGTAGCTGTGGGAACTGTTATTGATGACTTCAGGGCTTTTAT